ATAAAACATAAGAAAGGAGATATTTGTTTACATTTTATTTTGTGTTTGATTGTTAAAACAAAAAATTATTTGTTGTTTGTCTCAATAAATTGGGTTAATTTAAAAATACAGTGGTTAAATCAAAAAAAAAATTCTATTGCTCTTTGTTTTAAAAAGGTTATAAAAAAATGTCAATAATTATCAATACCGAACGATATGAAACATTATGTCGTTGATACATTTTTTAGCTATATCGCCCAGCCCTAGTGTCCATATACTGTACATCACCGCTGCTCTCGTGTAATTTAACACAAAGGCATTTTGAGACAGTAGTATGTGCAAATGAATGCATGTGAAGGAAAGGGCCACGGCAAACCCCCAAAGGCTTCATGTGCTGCTGCGTGAAGGGAATTACAGCAATTTGCATTCTTCCTTTAGGATATTTCTCCACCTCCACCCCTTTCTGCTGAACTGAGCACTTGAGGAGTTTACAAGATCATGTAGATCATGTACAGTAGATGTGCTGTGTTCGAGAACGGCCCAGAATAGTCCTGAACCGGCTGCCGGAAATTCCGGAAATTTTATTAGAAATAGCAACACGATAGTTTACATCAAACTGTTAGAACGATGACCAGAAGGTACAGATGACGTCACAATCCACAAAACAGCTTTTCCTTCAGTGGGGATCATTTCCATAGATTTTTCTTTTATGTCAAAAATCATTAGGATATTAAGTAAAGATCATGTTCCTTGAAGATATTTTGTAAATTAGCTACCGTAAATAACTTAATACTTAATTTTTGATTAGTAATATGCATTGCTAAGAACTTCATTTGGACAACTTTAAAGGCTCAATATTTTATATTTTGATTTTTTTGCACCCTCAGATTCTATATTTTAAAATAGTTGTATCTCAGCCAAATATTGTCCTATCATAACAAACCATACATCAGTGGAAAGCTAATTTATTCAAATTGACGCTTATGACTGGTTTTGTGGCTGATATTATTATATGTTACACTATAGTTCAGAGATGAAGGGGTGGGGGGGGTTTCATGCATCAAAACAATAAAAAGTTTAAGGCAGCTTTAATATATATTTTTTTTGTACGTTAAAATGTGTCTAGTTTAAATGTTTTCTTAGAAGACACCCCCTAAAATGTTATTCAATGTAACACTAAGACATCATTAAAAGGCTTATTTTGGAATCACAGCAAAGCCCTGATAAAAACTAATCGATTGTCATTTTAAATCTTTGCCTCTGTCCTTCAAACCAATAGATTTTACCCGTTTGTCAGCAAAATCTTTGAAATTTAGTATGATCCCTTTTTCTTTTTATATATATATATATATATATATATATATATAGAGAGAGAGAGAGAGAGAGAGAGAGGTCAAAATAAGTATGTTGTTTTATTTTTGCATAAATATATCTGTTCCGCTGAATAACGATGGAACATTATTTCACCCGTATTTTGACATTTTATTTTCACAAAAGTTATTTGAATCATTAAAGTACACACTTAAATTGCATTTAATATATATATAAAATCACTTTTGTGAATTTACTTTGACGCCGATACCAAAATGGGGCATCTCCACTTTGACCCATTTGTTTGTTTGTTTATTATTATTTGTAATTCCTATAAATAATGTTTGGCTGCTATTGGCACATGTGCTAGAAGTTAATTCTGGACATCTGCAGAGCAGCCACTTCAGCTCATGTTCTGATAGCACTCTCTCTTCTGGGTGTTTCATATTACATATTCATTTAATGCTCTGCTGCGTACAAAGCAGCCTGGAAGACAGGTGTTTGTTGGGCTGAAGGTGACATTGATATGCGGTGCATGCTTTTCTGTGAAGAGTTGTGTGCTAAGTTCATATATCATTGTTAGATCCTGAGTGCCAAACATTTACTGCAAAGTCAAAGTCTTTATAGGCCGATCTGTAGTTTAAAGCTGATCACTGAAACCAAGGTGGAGGTCACGAGACTTTAACATGCATTTAAGGGCATCATATGCATGTTCCACAAAGGCATCTTTTATACAGTGTCAGTGTTAGACAATTATCCAGGCAACATGGCCAGGCTATTTTCTGCAAACTATGAATTGGGAAGCAATTTAGAATGCATGCTATGTGAATTGGGATGCATTGGCTGTAGTTGCGGTAATTGATATACTGCTGGCTGCATGTTTTTAACGCTTGACTCGCCCTCACATACGCTTGGCAGCTGAGACGCTTCAATTAAACAAGGTGCAACTCAGCTGAATAATAGATGAGAGCAGCGTTTCTCTCCATTACACTGCTGCTTTCACAGTTCAGTACCTGAGTGCCTGCTCTTCTCCTAATTAAACCCCAGACTCTCTCAAGAACAACTTTTTTTTTTTTTGTAATGAACTGCCAATTCTGCTGATTGCAAGTGTATTTATAAGTTAAATAACATGTTGTTAAAACTAGGGTTGCAAAGGGGTGGAACATTTCTGGTAAATTTCTGGAAAGTTTCCAAAATTTCTGGAATGTTTCTGAAATTTTCTGGAAATTTTCCACCTTTTTGCAACACCTCGTTACAGCAATCTGAGAGGTCAAGGATGGGCATTTCTGCCCAAACCACATGACATCAATGAATATGACCTATTTTTTATTTTTTTTTAATCATATTCCACTACAGCAGAGTTTCCCAAATTGGGGATTGTGAGTTGATGTAAAACTAATAATTAATTAAATCATAAAAAATAAAAAATAAATTAAATAACAATGAATATTCGTTTTGAAATAAAAATAAACTAAATAAAAATTAACTAAAAGTTTGTGCCGTCAAACGATTAATCACGATTAATCTGAAATGTGGCTTACCCCACCTTTAATCCACAACCAAAAAAAAAACCCCACGGCAACGGTGCAAAAGTAGCCCGATTCCCGCTGTAAAACCAAGGACTTGGCAGCACTGCCCTCCAGTTTCCCTCGATGTACCATTATAGCACAATGTGATTGTGACGTCACTTCCGCTCATGTAATCCGACTGAAACAGGGCTTTCACATTAGCGTCTCCATTTAAAGATCTCTTCGAGGCTGTTTGCAGTAAATGTGTTGACATGGCATGCTCCGAAATAACCCTTAATACACTTCCTCCTCCGCTTCTCATCTGGCCTTCATGTAAAGAATGAAACAAAAGACAAGCCGTCCACATTTCTTTAGAGTTAAATAAAGCACAGGACAATTGGTTCCTCGTTTTGGCAAGGAAACAGTTATAAGGGTGAAGGCTTGCAGCTGTGCATGAGTTTACTGACAGTATCTGGCCTGTCTTTATTAACAGCAGTGCATCATCTCTATGTGTCAGTTTTAGTACAGGCACAACCTTAGCATTGCCGGTTTACTCTGACAAACCATAGTAAACCTGTGAAGCTTGGCCTTCAAGTTTGACAGATGCAGCACTTCACGATAATTCAATTCAAGTTTATTTGTATAGCGCTGTTCACGATGCAAATCGTTGCAAAGCAACTTTACAGAAAATTAAAGTTTCAGCACTATATTTAGTAATAGCTTATCTCAAGTTGATGTCCATATGGCAGAAATGCACGGAAAATGCACAGAAAATCAAGCAGTTAGTTAATGTCATGTAATCAAACAGACGCTATTAACACGATTAACAGCAATGATTATATGTGTTGCGATCAAACTTATAGCAAAATTTGGTAGTTATTTTGAAGATACAGTCAAACCAAAAAATTATTCAGACCAGATATATTTTTGATATTTTTTATTAGTGGGTGCAGGAAACTATAGTTCATAAATGTAAGTGAGGATAGCAAAATAAAGTGAACCGTGACGTATAATACCCAAAAATTCTTCATACAGTGGACTTCCAGTAAAATTTGGGAGCAAAAATTATTCAGACACTTTGACCTGAGCATGTTTTTGTTTAATTGCTAATGTGACCTTTTTACACCCCAGACTGAACAAAATGAAGCATTGCTTGGTAATACCTAAATTGGTGTTATCTAATTGTGTGCTTAAATTTAACAGCTGACAGCTGTTCATTACAGTCCTTTCTATCAAAGTTATCTAACATTATCAAGATGAATTTGTTCTGACACAGTTTAACTGAGTTCTTGTCATATTTTAGTACCATTTTCTGAGCTGTGATAGTGTGAGAAATGTTGAAGACGTCTGAATAAATTTTGGTTTTGACTGTAAGAATGTAATTCAATCATGACAACTCTCGGAACATTTTAGCATGGTGATGGATATGACAATGTTAATGCATTTGGTCTTGGCGGAACAGATCTGCTACGCTGCTGCTGCTGCTGTTGGTTATTGCTGTAGTTGTAGATTATTGCTGCTGCTGCAAGCAAGTACAGAACTTGCTACTGCCAATGCATACGGCGATACGGTGCCATGAGTATTTAAGACATGCTGCTGCCGCACAAATAGCATATAAAATAACCCGTAGCAGATCTATACAGGTGGAGCTGGGGAAGGTGGAGGGTTTCAGAGAACTCTGAAAGCGCGCTGCAGGAATCTCTAGTGAATGCTAGCCAGCTATATAAATGCAAGGCAGTAAGTTCATTGGCTGCATATGCAGCATGAACCAATCAGCTTGTGCCAAGTCGTTTAACTCTCTGAATATCATCAGTTATGTTAACACCCCGTCAGAATGTGCCATCTAGAGTTTCATGACTGAACTATATATTTGTCAGGCTTTTATGTCATGCAAGCCGCTTTCTGTCTGTGTTCTTTCTAGACGCCCATCAAAGACCCGTCAGAAACCAGTGAGACCAGTTTATATGGGGACCATCGCCACAATGAAGCTCCAATGGAGCTCGAGGAGGAGCCCAGGACCCCTGTGTCCACCGAAAGCCCTTTGAAAGAGCAGGATGATCTCAGCGACAGGTTTCCAGAGGAGGATCACGACAAACCTGAGAGCGAGGCGTCAGGCAAGACCTTCAGCTCGGACTCCGGCATCGAGGATGGAAAAAGCACACCCACCTCCGAGGAGGACCCCAAGGCGGTCGAGAGCTCAGAACCAGAGCTGCATTTGCTGGGAACACCAGAACCTTCAGAGTCATCCGGATCGTCCTCAGAAACCACGGAGCAACCCTCACAGAAACCGGAGGAGGAGGAAGCTCACGGCGCAAGGGAAATGCCTCGCCATGCCATTCTGAACCGAACCGAGTCCAAAGAGCCGAGCAATCGCATGTCTGGGATGAGCGACAGGTCCTCACTGGCTGGAGACGATGTGGAAAGGTTATCAAAACGATACTCTGATGTGACGAGTGAGAACATGGACATCAGCTTGAACCTGTCCGGTGATATGTCTGTCAACAAAGACTTGGGCACCATCTCTTTATGGGTGAGTCTGTGTTTGAGGCATGTTTTCATTTACAGTGTTGGCCAAAATGATTAGAACACTAGTATTTCCACCAGCTAAAGAATGGTCTTTTGCTGTAGTGTGTTTGTTATATATACACGTCTCACTGACGCTTCAAGAAACCTCCTGCAAAGCTCCAGTACTGTTAAAAGTTTTAGGCACTTGTGCAGAAATGCTGTAAAATGAGAATGCTGTCAAAAACAGATTTTCTTGATCAATGAACTTCTGTTAACTAAATGAAATCAACATTTGGTGTGAGCATCCTCTGTGTTTAAAGCAGCTTTTGCCCTCGGTGCACTTGAGCAGAGTTTCTCAGGAGCTTTGCAGGAGGTTTCTTGAAGCGTCAGTTCTTCTGGATTGAGTCTGTCTCAGTTTGTTCTGTTTCTTCATGTGACTCCAGACAGACTGATGATGATCAGATCAGATCTCTGTGTTTTTTCTAATACAGGTGAAGAGTAGGTTTTCTCACTAAATGGAAGCAAGCTGATTATAGTCAGCCTTCTCTAGTTATTTATTTTATTATATAATACATATTTTACTTAAGTGCTTGAATTGTAAATATGCATTTATTACATTTTTTTTTATTTTTTTTTGCTATATTTTTGATCAAATAAATGCAGCTGATTCAAATGATGAGCAGACGAGACTTCTTTATATATATATATTATCAACATATTCCAGTGCACTGCCTTCCCTCATGGACTTGTATTTTGCTCCACTGTAATCTTCAGAAACTGGTTTTGAACCCGGAACATTACTTTAAATGAAGTCATTGATTTGTTGCATATTTCGAGCGGCTGGTCTGTGAAGCTGGCGTCAGATTTTTCATGCATTTCTCCCAAACGCTCATTGTGCATCAGTCTCTGTGTGATGATTGTTGAGTTCTGCTCTTTGTTCAGGGCGGCAGAGAACAGCCTCATTTCTCATTTCTGCCATATTTCCAGCATGATTCAGACGCTGAGCTCTCTCTTGTTCTCTTGCAGCGTCAGAATGCAATCGTTGATGCATGCACACGGCATTGCATGGAAACTGTGGCTTTGTCGCGCTGAAACCACATCACAGGACGAGTGCGGCATACAAATGACAAACTTGTGCTGTCAGTGTCTTTTTAGAGAGGATGGGAGTGTTTGACAAATTTTAAATATTCACAGTTTATATATGATTTATTTTTTTCTCTCTGTTGTTGTTGTTGAGAATGTTCTGCTCATGAGCTGCTGGCACTTCCTGTCAGAACTGCTTCCTGTTCACACCCTTTGCATGGTTTTGCTTCGTCATTTCTTTTTTCTTGCTCCAGTTCAACCATTCATTATGCCTCTGGGTCTATAAATCAGTGCTATTTTTAGTATATGTTTGCATGTATGTATATTAATATATATGTATACACTAATGTTTCTAAAGTTTGGAATGTAATTATTTTTTTTATTTTTTTTAAAGAAGTCTCTTTTGCTCATCAAGGGTGCATTTATTTGATCAAAAATACAGAAAAGAACCTGTAAAATTATAAAATATTAAAATTTAAAATAACGGTTTTCTATTTCAATATACTTTGAAATATAATTTATTTCTGTGATCAAAGCTGTATTTTCAGCATCATTACTCCAATCTTCAGTGTCACATGATCTTCAGAAATCATTCTAATATGCTGATTTATTACCAATGGTGCGAACAGTTTTTTGTTGTTTATTTATTTATTTTTTTGGAAGCTGTGATTTTTTTTATTTTTTTATTTTTTTTTTTTGTCAGAATTCTTTGAACAATAAAAAGTTAAAAAGCACATAATTTATTCTAAATAAAAATATTTTCTAACAATATAAGACTTTAATATCACTTTTTTTCTATCAGTATAACATCCTTTCTAAATAAAATAATTATTTTTTATTTTTTTTAAAGAAAGAAAGAATTTACTGACCCCAAACTTTTGAATGGTAGTGTATATTGATAGTAAACATTTCTATTTTAAATAAATGCTGTTCTTTTAAACTTTTTTTTATTCATTAAAGAATCCTGAAAAAGTATCACAGGCTGAAAAAAATTTAAATAAATTACTGTTTGACTAATAATGACAGTATTACTGTTATTGTATTTTTTGATCAAATAAATGTGACCTTGAAGAGAAAAAAAAAATAAATAAATAAAACTTACTGATCTCAAAATTTTGACATTAGTGTATATATATTTTTTTTTTATTTAAACTTTTTTTTTTTTACTTTGTAAATTTTAGTATATCAAGTTAAAATAAATAGGACTGTTGCATTGGCAACTACCTGAAGTGTGTTCAAGTTTTCAGTTAACATAATGCATAATGCATTTATTTTAATGGTTTGTTTAATAATTTGCTACCAAGTCCTTCTTCTGCATGTATTTATTTTATTTTTTTTTAGCTCCACAGTTCCCTAAAATCCTGCTACCACACCCATTACAGTCTGTCTCCTCACTACCACTTTTCTCTCATTTATTTGTCCACCAGGACAACAAGAAGACGCTGAAACGCACACGTAAGTTCCTGGTGGACGGTGTGGAGCTCAGCGTCACCACCTCCAAAATGTTCACTGATGACGAGAAGAAAGATGAAGAAATGAGGTTACTCAGGCAAGTCCACTCTCTTTAATCAAACTCAGCAGCATTTTTCCACTTGATCTTGCATCTCGGCCGCGCAAACAGACTATTTCAGTCCTCAGGTCCGAGATCTTGTCCTTTCCAAATGGGACATAAATACACAAGGGAAGCTTTGTGTAGAGCCAGAGGAGAGAGATCAGATCTTCTGAACTCTCGTGAAACACCTCGGCTGCTGGTAGCAGATTAAATGTGAAGTGTTTCCAGCACACACTAACACTTCTGCTATCTACTGGTGTGATAGTGAACTCACATGTGATATTATATCCACAGCTTCATCTCAGTCTCACAAAAAACACGTCGTCCAGGTCGCATTTTACCCTAAAATCAAGATAAATATTTTTGAGTCATATACACACACTGCCTTTCAAATGTTTGGGATCACAGTAAGATTTTTAATGTTTCGAAACAAGTCTCTTTTGCTCATCAAGGCTGCATTTATTTGATTAAAAATACAGAGAAAATTGTAATAATGTGAAATATTATTGCAATTTAAAATAACCGTTTTCTATTTTAATATACTTTAAACATAATTTATTCCTGTGATGCAAAGCTGATTTTTTTTTTTTTTGGAACCTGTGATACTTTTTGAGGATTCTTTGATGGATAAAAAGTAAAAAAAAACAGCATTTATTCAAAATATAAATATTTTCTAAGAATATAAGTCTTTAGTATCACTTTAATCAATTTAACACATCCTTGCCGATTAAAAGTGTTAATTTCTTTCAAACAAAAAGAAAAAAATTACTGACCTCAAACTTTTGAATGGTAGTGTATATTAGAATATGTAGGAGTAGAAATAGAAATAAACACATTACAGAAATAAATTATATTTTAAGGTATATTGAAATACAAAATGTAATTTTAAATTGTAAAAATATTTCACAATATTATTATTATTATTTTTTTTTTTGATCAAATAAATGCAGCCTTGATGAGCAAAAGAGACTTAAAAAAAACCAAAAAAAAAACCCATTAAAAAATCTTACCGATCCTAAACTTTTCAATGGCATACATTACATTATTAATGTATTATTATTTTTTAAATAAATTATATTAGACTATATTTGCATAAAGAAAAATAACTCATAACATTCATCTATATAGACTTATATAATGTCTTTCTTTCTTTTGGTTTTGTGGTGAAATATGACTGGGCCGTGTTCTTGACAGCCCCACATAAAATATCTGTGTGGAACATTCCTCTGGTGCTTGGCTGTCAGTGAAGTCATGTAATGAAAGAGTTGGGGGTGTTTTCCCATGAATCCTCTGCCGTCTGTGGGCCATGACAGTAGAAGAACAGAGCGTCGCTGCATTCTGAGCATTCTTTGGTTTGCGGGAGACTTCATATGTGACCCTGGAGCACAAAACCAGTCATGAGGGTCATTGAGATTTATACATCATGAATAAATAATCTTTCCATTGATGCATGGTTTGTTAGGATAGAACAATATTTGGCTCAGATACAACTATTTGAAAATCTGGAATCTGAGGGTGCAAAAAAATCTAAATATTGAGAAAATCCAAATGAAGTTCTTAGCAATGCATATTACTAATCAAAAATTAAGTGTTGGCTATTGCTACAAATATACCCCAGCGACTTAACACTGCTTTTGTGCTCCAGGCTCACATATGTGTTGTTTCAAATGTTCGTCTTAAAGGGACAGTCGCCCAAAAATTAAAATTCTGTCAACATTTACTCACCGTCCTGTCGTTCCAAACCTGTACGGCTGTCTGCAGAACACAAAAGAAGTAACTAAACCACATTGACTTCCATTGTATGAACATTTCAAAATATATGTTTGACAGAAGAAAGAATGTCATGCAATTTTGGGATTACAGGTTATTGTGTAACAGGTCATGAATGGTTCCTCACATGTGTTTGTTCATTGAAACACGCAGGCGTCAGGAGCTTCGAAATCTGCGTCTGCTGCAGAAAGAGCAGCATCGCGCTCAGGCTTTGCTCAATCTGAAGCTGAAAGAGCAGCGGGAGCAGATGCAGCGCAGATTCGACCAGGAGATGAATGTGAGTCCCAGCGGTCTCTAGACAAAATTAAATATCTTCCCATCAAGGCTAGACACCACCCTCAGGCCATCCCAGATTAGGATGAGTTTGTTTCTTGATCAGATTTGGAGAAATGTAGCACTGCATCAGTGTCTCAGCAATGGATGATCTGCAGTGAATGGGTGCCGTCAGAATGAGAGTCTGATAAAAACATCACAATAATCCACAGCACTCCAGTCCATCAGCTAACATCTTAAATACATCAGTAAGATGTTTTTAACTCAAATATGAGTCCATAATTCATAATAACACTTCCTCCAGTGAAAAAGTGTTCTGGTCTGAATCAGGAGAGAAATCTGCACAGATCAAGCAGCGTTTAAACAGCTCTAAACACATATGTGGCTGGATTTTGCTGTGAGAGACAACAGCAGATGCACTTTATTTACTTTACAACTTTAGCATTATTATGGATTATGAACTCGTAATTTAGCTGGAAGCAATGGTTTGAAGTTAAAAACGTCTTAATGCTGGATTTGTTTCAGCTTTCGTCTTCTCCAGATGTTAACTGATGGACTGAAGTGTTTACTTGTGGATTATTGTGATGTTTTTATCAGCTGTTTGGACTCTCATTCTGACGGCACCCATTCACTATAAATCGTATTATACACTATAAATATTAAATGTTATATAAATTGGGTGAATGTTTTATTAATATAGACAGGAACAGAACTGGACAGTTTGTGTATGTAAGTGCTTTTGGCTCAGTGCATAAGAATAAATCTATTTTAATTGAAATCTAAACAGATGATGTGTATTTTTGGTTGTTTTCTTTCCACTAGTCTAAATGAAGACATGTTATTGTAGCACATAACATGCCCAGTTCTGGAAAAAAACAAAAGCACTGGTCTGTAGTGTCTCGCCTTAATATAAGAAGTTAAATAAAGAGTGTGTTTTCTTGGACATTATTTCTGGGAGAAGAGACGATATTAAAATATGAATAATATGTGACCCTGGAGCACAAAACCAGTCATAAGGGTCTATTTCTCGAAATTGAGATGTATACATCATCTGAAAGCTGAATAAATAAGCTTTCCATTGATGTATGGTTTGTTATGATAGGACAATATTTGGCTGAGATACAACTATTTGAAAATCTGGAATCTGAGGGTGCAAAAAAATCTAAATATTGAGAAAATCATCTTTAAAGTTGTCCAAATTAAGTTCTTAGCATATTGCTACAAATATACCCCAGCGACTTAAGACTGCTTTTGTGCTCCAGGGTCACTTATTACACACTTACATAAATCGTCAATGAATAGTGCTGATATATCGCTCACAGGCCAAGAAGAAATACTACGACACCGAGCTGGAGACGCTGGAGAAACAGCAGAAGCAGAGCATCGAGAGAATGGAGACGGAGCACACGGTTCGACTGCGAGACGAGGGCAAACGCATCCGCGCCGAGCAAGAGAAAGCCTACAACAAGTTCCTGGATCAGATGAAGCACCGCAAGAAAGAGGTCAGACCATGAGTTATTAAAAAAACTACACTTTTACACTCATTACTCAGCCACAAAACTGCCAACAATAAATTAATGCTATTTATTATCAGGGTGTAACTAGTTACTAAGTAATTAGTTACTGTAATTTAGTTACTTTTCCCCCAATGTAATTGAACTTAATACTGTGTATAGACTGTAGAACATTTATATAAAACACAATACAGTAGTGGATTTAACATCAAAATGCATGCTTTTTATCTACCCTTCTCACTTTAAATACTTTGGTGAGCTAATAAGAATATTGTTAACACTTTAGTGTCCAGTTCTCACTATTAACTTAGCATGAATATTACTGGGACGTTGGCTGTTTATTAGGGATGCACAATTAATCTAATTTCTAATTATGGATGCCACAATTACGTAATCGTTCAAAGCGGTAATTAATCGTTCAAAGTCCATTTATGTTATTATGCACGCTTAAGATACGTTTTTTTCTTTCTACATGTTATCTTAAGGGTTTTTCCATTGTTTTAGTTTTAGTATAACATTATAATACCATTCATATTTTTACTTTTTTATAATTTAAAGAAGAAACCAATCTGATGTATATTTGACGTTTGAGGCTTAATACTATAGAAAAGCACTAAAGCTTTGTTTATTTTCATATAAAAGTACGGCATGCAGTTGCATCAAACAATGGTATAAACATCATTCAATGTAAATTGTGATAATCGTAATTAATAATCGCAATTACAATTTCAAGGGAATAATCGACAATTATGATTTTTGTCATCATCGTGCAGCCCTACTGTTTATTATTTCTTAAAAAGCACATATCAACGACTTATTCTGCACGACCTTATTCTAAATCCTTAATCCGACCCAATTAAGTATTAATAAGCAGTAATTAGGAATATATTGAGGCAAAAGTTCATAGTTAATTTTTAGTAAATAGTGAGAATTAGACTCACTATCATGTAGTTGTATTATGTAGAAATAATTTATGTAGTTATCTATTATTTATTTGAAATAACCGTTTCATGTCTATCCTTGTATCATTCATTAACTTTGATTTAGGATTTAGAAAGTAATTCGTAATAAGTAATTAAATACTTTTTGGAGAGAGTGATTTGTACAGTAATCTAATTACACTGTTGAAGATGTAATTAGTAAATAGTAATGAATTACTTTTTTAGAGTAACTTACCCAACACTGTCAGTAATACATTCATTTTCCATAATAATAATAAAAATATTATATATTATAATAATGAAATGAATTGAATTGAGAAATACATTTAAATGTGTAAATAATATTCTAGAACTGTATCTAAAATTAAAAAAAGTGGCAATAAAGACTTTTTTTGTGAACGGTGAAGGCATTGAAAGTGTTGAAACCTGGCATCAGTGTTTAAGAAAGTTTTTTTTTTTAGATTATTTATAAAAAATTTGTAGTGCTGTCGAACGATTAATCGCGATTAATCGCATCCAAAATAAAAGTTTTTGTTTGCATAATATATGTGTGTGTGCTGTGTATATTTATTATGTATATATAAATACAAACACATGCATGTATATATATTTTTAATATTTACATGTATTTACATGTCTATATTTATATTCATATAATTTATATTATAAATAAATATATTTAATATATAAACATATTTTTTTCCCCTGAAATATATACATGCATGTGTGTGTATAATAAATATACACAGCACACACACACATATATTATGTAAACAAACACTTTTATTTTTGATGCGATTAATCGCGATTAATCGTTTGACAGCACAAAAATTGTTTTTTTTCAATTTGATCAAATAAAAAAAAAACTAAATGTGAGATATCAATGCACTGACTGTTTTTTAAGAAGAGTAAACATCTAGAAGCAATATGTTTGATTTTGATAAAAACTAAAAACTAGATTTATAGGAATTTTATAGGACATAATTTATGTAAGGAATAATTGATGACAGGCCGTTGAATTATTAGAAAAATAATGCATACCTTGGAGTGGCCATTACACCTCGGGTGTGCGTTATTTTTTAATAATTCAATGCAGTGTGTCTCTCAGAAGTGTTCGGCAGCAGCATCTCTACTAATAGTGAAACTTTAAGTAGCTACATTTTCTTCAAGAACAGCGCCGTTGTTGCCTCGCTTGTCATGTAGCTTTTAAGTTGCAATGCTATTTTACTGATACAATCGTGAGAGTAGCACTAACAATGTTTCTATGTGTGCAAGTGTTTGTACTGTATGTGTGCGCGTCTGCGAGGGAGAGAGAGCGGGAGAAAATAATTGCACACCTTCCAACATTCATCAGCCAATCAGATTCAAGCATTCAGCGGCCCTGTGGTATAAATATTAATAAAGGACAAACTATGACTAGGTTGTGTGCTGAAGAGCCACCGACATCTCACATAATATTTTCTTAAATATAATTTAAATGAATGCAAAACTCAACATTATAATGCGTCTCAAAGATCGAAAAGTCTTTATTCCAACCGTTACGTCTCATCGATTATCTAATGCAGTAACATCTGTGACATTTTTAAATCGTCAAACACTTTGTAGTTAACATAGAATTGTGTTCAGTTTGAAACATTTCTATCTTCATTTATTTGGTCTCAGGTCAAACAAGAAGTGGAGAAACTGCCCAGGAGTCAGAGGAAAGGAAGCATGAAGATCAAAATGAACAACTTCCAGCAGATGAAGTCAGACGAGGTCAGTGAAAGTCTTAAAGCTGCAGCGCACAACTAAAACTGAACTGAAGTGTGTGTGTGTGTGTGTGTTCCTGACTCTTCTCTGCGCAGGAAGAGAAGTTCCTGGCAGACCAGAGGGATTTTCTGGACTCGACTCTGAAGAGCATCATCGCTCAGAACAAGCGGGAAATCTCCGAGACGGAGCGCCAGTGTCTCATCGTAAAACAGAACCTGCTCCGAGGTATAAATGCACTCAGACCAGAGCATCCTTACCTTTTACTCAGACTGCATGCTTACAAGCCGAGTGCTGCTGTTGTGTGTCAGAGCGAGAGGCCACTGTGTGGGACCTGGAAGAGAAGAGCTTGCACGAGAGACACCAGCTCCTCAAACAGCAGCTGAAGGACCAGTACTTTCTGCAGAGACACCAGCTCCTCAAGAAACACGAGAAGGTCTGGAAGCATCCTTCATTCTCACTGCTTTTCCTCACAGATGCTGCTGGTGCCAGTCTGAGAGATCTGTCAACAGTGACAGATGCATGCAGATAACATTGACGTTAAAAACTGTTGTCCAAGCATGAATAGCTCGTGTAAAGTAATATAAATTAGTAATGAATAGTCATTTCTAAACTTTTTTTTTTTTTAGATTCTATGTTCAGGATTATTTATAGTCATTGAAATGAATATATTCACAAATCAAGTATGAATATATAATACAAAAACTAATTCAAAGTTTGTGTCTTTATTCATAAATACTTTTACATTAAGATGTCCGCATCAAAAGAAATGTACAAAAGTGATTTTATGTCCATAGGAAGCACATTAAATGTAAGTAAAGTGTCTACTTTTAAGGTTTCAAATTAGTTTTTGGAGAATAAAATGTCAAAATTTGGTTGAAATAATGTTATATTGTCATTCAGTGTAACACTTATAGTTATGTAAAAATTCAAACAACATGCTTATTCTGATGTGTACATATTAAAATGTATAAAAGAATAAGGGAGCATATTACATTTTATTGGGTTTTAGATGAGTAAAAATTCTTACTGACAAATGTGCGAAACCTAGGATCATTTAAAAAATGTAAAATTACAACTGATTAGTATTTGGGGTGAAAGATTAGTCTTTTTAATGTCATAACTTGATTTTTGTTGTAAATATGCCTGACAAGATTGTTACACTGAATGCCATTTTAGTGGCTCTCTTCTGTAAATCAGGGGAACATGTATGATATTTAATTTTTGCTCCGAAAAACAAAATTGCAATTAAATTAAACAGAAATTTTTTAAATTATTTTGGGAAAAACAACAACAATTTAAAGCTGTATTACACTTGTTGTTTTTATGCTTAAACCCTTTTTCGTCGTTGACCCGTGTGCGCTAAAAATGTTTAGTGGCTAAATATTGATCTTGTGTACAGCAGGGTTATTATTGTTTGCTAAAACATAGAATTAAAACACTTAAAAACATTTTGATAATTGGAATAAAGCTGAAATAAAATATATAAAAACATATCATTTAAGTTAAAGCACTAAAATTGCAACTGGAAAAAAAACCAAACAGTTAAAAAAAAAAATAGTAATAAAATAATAATCAAAAAACATAATAATATTTTA